TATATTTTTAATTTAATTGTCGGGAAAATAAAATAACAAGGGTATTCCCCCTAGAATTAAATGCCGTGAAAAATAAAAAAACTTAAGGGATATTATGTTTTTCCCTTCTCCCCTACKGGTCTTAATCCCTCTTTCCATCTTTAATTATGGTACTAAAATAGACAAAAATTTGAGGCCCCATTTCGCCCCGGTCGTATGCCGCAAAAACGTTGCGGCGAGGTCAACTCCCTTGATGCCTCTCCGCGGCAGGCCAGTCCGGGTCTAACCCTCTGAACCGTCGGAAATGTCAGTCCCTAGACATGCCGAGTGCGGCCACCCATCTCCCCATCTTTGAGGGTTACTCATAAGGCTCAGTGCCCCCAAAATCAGGACTGCCCTGAGTTCCCCTAATTTTTGCTGCCTGGTCATACGGAACTACCATCAAAACACGGATTTGTCCCTGAGCCTAAGCCCCAAAACTGCAGATCTCAGGCGGCGCACTGCTTGTGGCCGTCTGACACCGTGATTACTCGTATTTTCCTTCTGCAAGGGAAGGACGAGCGCACCTTGTCTCAAAGGGATCTTGCTTTTTTTTTATTATTAGTTGGACGTTGGTCCTGAGCCTGGAATTCGAGGTCCTTATCTAGGACATCCCAGACTCTGGTCCAGCACAACAAGGTTTCCCCTTTGAGCCGGACCTGCGCCCCTTGCTTATCGTCACACACTGCCTAAAAAACAGGGGTGCCACAAAGACCGAACGGCTTATCCTTCAGCCGTACAATATTGTGAAGGAGAAACCCTTCACGATATTTCGTTTTCGACACTTGATTGTCGTACGCAACCCCGAAACCCATGGGAGGTTGCACGGATGTGGGTACCGCATGAAGCGTCGCCATGGTAGTTAATTAAGTGAGAACACATGATCCATGGCAGTGGCATTTTTTTTATGTAACTCTGCGCGGACCTCGCTTAGACACATTGGCAGTTCTGAGTTATGGGTCAGGACGTATGAAAAAAGGACTAGGCTAATTTGCTTGTATGAGTTACTTTGTTTTGTCGTGTAGCACGTGGTTGAGTTAGGATGTCCTAGTCGACCGACGCTGAACCGCACGTGGGAGATCAGCGCCCCAGCGTGACGGTTCGCGTACGGGTCCGAGCTAGGCGTGGACCGCGCGTACCCCCTATGCTACAGCATACGAGAAACGCCCTTGGTTGGGCCACCTCCTCGATTGCAAGTCAAAAGTCTCGCATGTGGTTAAGTAGCTCGGTGGGGATACGCCCACCCAAGGGATGGTGACAACTCCCACGGGTGGAGGTAAGTTGTACCCCGCGAGACCCTGTCCTGTCGTAGGGACTCGATGGAGGTATAGCTGACGCACTCGGTCGGAGCGGCTCCGTCGCTTCCCTTTTCGTGAAGCGACTTGCAAATTTTGCCAATCCTGCGTGACGCGGCCGGGAAGGTTCCCCCAGCGGGGACCGTGCGCACGACAGGTGGCGCCGTTGCCGGGGATCTCGGCTGCCTACCGAGGTCCATAGTGAACGGACTTGGGCTTAGTGCAGAACGATGATCTAGGCAAACGACACTTTTTTTGTGATTAAGGAAATGATATAGTGTGTTTTTGACTTTGATATTGCCGTTACGACCTAAGGGAATGTCCCTATGAATCTGGTCAGGCTCAAAGAAGGGCCTAACTGTCATGATCAAGAACGCTAAGTATTAGGACTTGGCGTGGAGTGGGCGAATTCGTAGTGTGATTGTATGGTGGTATGGATGTTTGTGAACGAGTGTTGAGCGTTTAAATTTAGTAGCAGGACACAACCTCTAAGTTTGAAGTTGGACTAACTATAAAAGTTTGTTAAAGTAATTAGGTTGACCCTGTATAAGTGTTGTATATTGACAGGGAACTGATTTTTGAAGATCGAAATGGCGGACGATGAACTTAATGAGGCCAATGGCGCGGGTCAGCGGCCGGTTACGTTGGGCCAAATGGTTGCTCTACTGGATGGGCGCGAGGTGACGCGATCCAACATCCCGAAGGTTCTGATCTTTCACTTCCAAGGAGAGAAGGTGTCAAAGTGGCTTGAGATGCTTGAACAGATTACTGATGAAATGACGGAGAAAGAAAAATTTCGCCAAATTTCTAAGTACGTCTGGTGGGAGATGTGGTCGGAAGTTATGAGGGTAGCAACCGAGACCACAAAAAATTGGGGGAATTTTAAGGCAGAGATGCAGAGGAGATATCAGTTGGGGGATGGAATCCTTACGACGGAGGACTTGAAAAGGTTAGAGAGGTCTGATTTCACGACAGTGGGTGCCTTCGCAACGACATTCGAGAAGATGGCGAGGAAGGTTTCAAGGTTGGCCGAGGAGTCCCAATGTATCATCTTTTTGAGCAACTTCACAAAATGCGAGAGTGTTTCCCTGACAAGAAGAGGAGCCATAGGGCGGAAACTGACATGGGAAACAGTGAAGCAAAGTTTGGCAGATGGGGAACTGGACTAGGTATACCAGTTCCAGATGAAATAACAACGACAAAAACGAAAGGCCCGAGTGGTCACTGAAGGAGCAGGTATCAACCTTCAACAACTTATTTTGGATGGAATAGCAAAGTACCAAGCCGACCAACAGAAGGCGGCTGGGAAACGGGTTTTGACAGTGACTCAGCCTCAGGCAAAAGCTGCGAAGAACGTGGTGGAGCAGGTGGAAGACGATGATGACGATAAAGAGGAAAAACCGGTAAGGTTGACAAAAAGTCAGAGGAAGGCAAGGAACCAGGCCGCAGGTGGCCAAGGTTCCGGGAAGAATGCAGGAGTACAAGCCGCTGCTCCGGCCCAAGTAAACGCGAATCAGGCAAGTACAAGTGGGGCACCACCACAAGGACTAGCGCAGCTTGGACCCTGGCCAGGGGTCATTTCTTCTGTTTGGCCGGGGTATACTCCATATGGCCCATGGCCGTTTTACAACCAAGTCGGGCCGGCCGTGGGAGGGTCGACTGCGAATGCTGCAGGAGGATACCCCAATGCGCCAGCTCAAGGAGTGAACTGGCAAGGAGAGGGCCAACAGCAGCAGCAAGCACCCCCGCGTCAAGTCAACCAACCCAGTCAAGCAGGGGGTCAAGGACAAGGTCAAAACCAGGGAGGTAACGGGCAGAGCAGTCAGGGTCGAGGCAATGGAGGTCGCGGACGGGGTAACGGTAATGGTGGACAAGGCGGTCAAGGGGGCGGACGCGGAGGCAATTGGAATGGGCAAGGCGGGAATGATAGACCAAGGTTCGATTGGAGAAATGTCATTTGTCATCATTGCGCCCTAAAAGGGCATACCTTCAGGTTTTGCCAAATTCGGAAAGTAGATGAGGAAAATGGTCTTATCTCGACAAACATGGACGGAGATGTCTATGATATGTATGGGAAATATATTGACCCTAAGATTGCAGGTGGTATGCGTAAGGAGGCACAACGTCGTGTCGAACTAGGTCCACCACCATCGGCCATGTTCCGACTTTGGCAAGAGGAAGATGTCAGGTCAACGATAAAAGTGGAAGAACTGGCCAATAGTAAGTCGGAAGAGGACATCAGGAGGGAAGAGTCAGTCGTGATAGAAGAGGAGGAGGAAGAAGAATCGCATTGCCAGGGAAGGGTCATAGATACCATGGAGCGAATGGAAGACCTCGTAGAGAAGATGCAGAGGTTGAATTTGAAAATGAGGTCCATTTGCGACGAGGTGACGAAGTCGATGGTACTAGGCTCAGAGACGGGGCCATCAAGTGTTAAACCGGCTCGTCAGACCTTGGGGTCAACCCCGCGATCTGGCATTACATTCCGACCTCCTCGAGGGCAATCCACATTCCCGCAAGGAGTATGCACGAGGAGTAAGAAAGGAGATCCCAGTAGCAGTCAGGAACCTCCGAGCGAAAGTCAGCCACGAGAGAAGGAGTCAGTTACCGACGTGGGGCACGAAGGCAAGGAGGATGAGGAAGATGAGCGGCTAAGGAGAGAAGAGGAAGAGCAAGCTGCTCAACGTGCAAATAAAGGAAGCTGGAAGATAGGCCAGAAAGAGCGGCAAAAGGAGAAGGCTCGCGGAAGCAAAAGTATGTGGTACCATTAGAAGATGGTTTGGATATTGAAGCCTTGGTTGATAGGCTTCTGGAAGGGCATAATGACCTGCTTAACTTAAAGGATATCCTTGCCTTTGCGCCTAAGCTCAGGGAAGGATTCAAAACGCGGCTCTCTCTTCGAAGGGTGGCAAGCGTATGACTAGGAGATCTCATCCTCGCCGAGGCTCATTGGGCGGTTCCTGGGACGAAAATGGATTGGAAATCGGTCGGGACTGGGAGTGTAAACCTGAGTATAAAGGGTAGGCCGTGTAGCGGGATGCTGGATACAGGAGTGGAGATGAATATCATCAAGGAATTTGACACACTCGGCTTGGGGATGAACATCGATCGAATGGACTCGGGATTCCTCTATGGCGCAAGCGGGAAGACCCCTTGGGAAATTGGGAAAGTGAAGGTGCGGTCCTGCTTCTTCATTATGTCAGATTTGGACCATCCTCTTCTGCTAGGAAGGTCATTCCTTTGCCGCACCGAGTCAATCATACTCAACAAGCATGACGGCACAATGTACATCATCTTAAGTGATCCAGTCTGCGGCAACTACGAGATCATCACTTGTCACAATACAGGGCCTCGTAGCTTGAAGAAGGCCAAACCCAGGTTCTTATACCTTTGAGGAATCTGAAGGGGAGAGGAGGAAATTAACGGGCGAAGACGAAGAGGAATGTGAACCTACTGGCGAGATGTGCTTAAGCCTAACCAGCATCAACGACGCAATGGAGATAGTGTCGTCATACTATGGGATGGTGGATCTCATTACTGTACAGGCTTTGAAAGAGAGAATAGTGGAAGATTCCGGCGAGGGAGAAGTGGAGCTCGTGTATCGGTTGCCGGCAAGGACAGGAGAACCAGGGGTACCCCAGAGCCGTGCTGCAAGTCAGCCTTTTTTAGGGGTGGGCTTAAGCAGGGCTCCAAAGGGAGGTACAAGTGCATGACTGAGAAGAGTCACCCCGTTCCTGTCCTCATAACTGCGGAATAAGAGTTCTACTATGAGCAGGAACGTGAACTGATACGGCAAATGAAAGAGGATGCAGAACATGGGCCGTGCCGTATCAATGAGAGGACCGAGGGGGACCTGATAATAGAAGAGTCAGGATTCCTCACGCCACAAGAGAAGGCCCTTATGGTAGAGGTAATGAAGGAGCGACATCGCTCATATGCGTTTGACGATGATGAGCGTGGACGCCTCGATGTAGATAAAGTTCCAATGATTCGGATCCACACTATGCCTCATGTACCATAGAACTTGCGAGGGCCACACTATTCCAATCCGGCAGAGGAACGGAGAGTAGTCGACTACTTGGATGACAAGATTCATTCTCATGTAGCCGACTACTCAAGTGGGTCTTACGCATCGCCATGGTTCTGCTTTATCAAGCCAAACGGTACCCTGAGGTGGGTACAAGATCTTTATCGCCTGAATGAAGTAACGATACGAGATGCGGGAGGTTTGCCGAACGCAGATGCGCTGTCAGAATCCTGTGTTGGGCGGCCTATCATTTCCTTGATAGACCTGTACTCAGGGTACGATCAGTTCCCGGTGTATCCACCTGACAGGCCTATGACTGCGATGCACACACCAAAGGGGCTGATCCATATGAACGTGGCACCACAAGGTTGCACGAATGTTGTAGCGATGATGCAAAGACATATGGTTCGCGTTATGCAGACGGTTAGTCCACATCTTACGCAACCATACATTCACGATTTGGCGGTGAAAGGGCGAAAGAAGAAGGATGAGACGGAGGTTGTGCCTGGGGTAAGGAAATTCGTCTGGGATCATATACAAAATATTGCTTGGATTCTTGACATTCTAAAGGATTACAACCTTACCGCAAGCGGACTGAAGTCAAGACACTGTATGCTGGGGGCCACCATATTAGGCTTCATATGTGACGAGAACGGTCGTCGGCCTGACATCAAGAAGACTAACAAGATACTCGAATGACCGGTGTCATTCGAATCTGTTAATGAAATTTGTAGCTTCCTGGGGACATGTGGTTTTTGACGAGTTTTCATTAAGAACTTCGCTGAGAAGACAGAGCAGTTGAGGAAGCCTGTGAGGAAGGATCAAGAATGGGAATGGGATGAGAAGCAGGAAGGAGTGGTAAGTGGTTTTAAAAGGGAGTTCAGAGAAGGCGGTGTGGTGTTGGGAGTTCCTGACTTCGAAGCAACGCCCAAACATCCTTTCATCGTGGAGACTGATGAAGGGCGTACAACCTTGGGCGACATTCTGATCCAAACTGATGTAAATGGTGAGGAAAGGTCATTGAGATTCGAGAGTCGAACCGTGAATGGCACTGAGAGAAACTACTCACAGTTCAAGCGGGAGACACTTGCAGTTCTCCACTGTGTAAGGGTGTTCCGCAACTACCTTTTTTGAAGGAGGTTTGTGCTGATAGTGGATCCGACCGTATTGGCCGGCTCTTTGAAGAACTATGCACCGTCAGACCCAACCATTGCCAGGTGGCTCGCGTATGTATGGATGTTTGACTTTGAGTTGGAACGCATACCTGGGAATAAGAATCGGGCTGACGGGCTTAGCCGGATCAATTGAGATAAGTCTGGCAATGGAGCTAATGAGGATATATGTCCGGTAGATGCATTCCTCGATGAGAAGGAAGATGTAAAGCTCCACATCAATGCGCATGCCGTTGGGCTCAGTGGAGTTATTGGGCAAGGGCAGTCTGCTTTTCTTGCTCCTGCAGGGTACGTGAAGCGGGCGGATATAGTCCTCAAGGACTTCGTGAAGGAGAATCCTTGGGGAGGAAAGGGGGTTGAGTGGATGGCAAAGCTTGCATTGACTGAGACCTTCCAGTTAGGAGAAGATCCATTGGCCATTGAAAGTGGAGCCTACTCACTCGACACGCACGCGAAGTATGTGGCGGATGTCAGTTTTCTCGTCAACTCAATTGTCCAAGTATACGAGGATGGAGAAGGGAGTCGAGACCCTGTGAGAGATATGGAAGAGGACGAGTTCGAGGAAGGAGAGATAACGGAGGTTTTTTGCGCAGATGAGTACGAAGGCGTATACCATGAATTAGGTTTGCTTCTCTCATGTGAGATGAGAGAGAGAAAAGCAACTAAGAAGGTACTCAAAATGCGACCTCGCTTTTTAGTCCGGGATGGACACCTTTTCATCAAAAACGAGGTTGGCAACCTGAGGCGGTTAATCTGTGGTCGAAATCGTCAAATAGACGTTATAGCTGCACTTCATGATGGATCCGCAGGCGGTCACAGAGCATTTGCCTTGACGTATGCGAAGGCGCGTGAGCTTTACTATTGGGAAGGAATGAGCGAGATGATTCGCAAATACTGCGAGTCGTGCGTTCCATGTCAAATAAGGGCGTTGTCGAGCGTAACGGCCCTCGCGTGAAAACGAGGGTCTTCCCGGCCATGTCATGCAGGAGTTTACCTAAAATATAACTTTAAGAGACAACTCGAAAACGTCGCATAATATTCCGTGAACCGCCGAGACGGACGCGGTTGCTTCGCTCCTTCGCCGCTCTAGCCGGGTGCGCTTGCTATACATCCCACGGTCCTCTACGACAGGACAGGTTCCCGCGGGGCATAAGCTTGCATCCCTAAGGGGTTGTCACCACCCTTAGGGGCGTATCCCTACCGAGCTACTGATCCACGTGCGAAGACTTTTATATGCAATCGCAGAGGTAGATCAGCCGAGGGCGTTTGCTCGTCTCGCTGCAGTATAGGAATTGTTTGACTAAAAGCCGAATGAACTCGAGCGTCGTTCGTTCCCTGGGGCGCTGATCTCCCAAGTACGAAGCGTACGCCAGTTGACTAGGACAGTCTCAATCAAGCGTGAAAACGACCCTTAGTCCCTAGCAATCAAACAACAAAAATCCCCATACCTTAAAACAAAATCACACAATCCAAATCGTTGACTTGATGAGCTGATCTGCCAAAGTGTCTCTTTTCAACCTGTATGACTGAAATAATTTTTATATTGTCATTCCTAGATTATTAATTTAAAAGAATAAACTAAGACTGATCTTCCTATTATGAAACTTGTCATGAATAACTTCTGCAAGTAAATACCACTGGTACCATGCAGATCAATAAGTGATCTGATTGCTGGTCGATGTTTGAACTCTTGGTTCGACCACGTTTCCATACCATATGCAACTATTTGGAGGAGCGAATGACAGCTTTGTTGGTCGCTTTGTCCTCCTGGACAATAATTACTCTTTCTGTTCCACAAATGATGGAGTATCCATCTCCAACACCAAGTTACGCAACGCAGAAATGTTTCATATTCCGCTGCTTCGCTTGACAACTTTTTCAGACGTTCGCTTTTCACTTTATCCAACTTATTTTTATGCGAACGATTTCCCCTCAATGCATAAGCATGATAGTGAAATCATCGGGGTAATCCGAATACTATCCATCCCGTGGTCCTAACTACATAAAGTGTTTTGTTTTTGTTTTTAGATTACCTCGTGAAACCATAAATTATATGGTTTCCTCAACGGGACTGAGTCCATGCGAGGTGTTTTCTGAAATCTGAGTAAAATTTCAGAAGACAATGTCTAATCCTGGTAGATATGTTGCCTTATGTAACCGTTTGAACGCGGTGAACGCGCGTTCGCGTTCAAATGTGCGTTTGAACGCGGATTGCGCGTTCGCGCTCAAAAATTGAACGACATTCAATTTTTTTATTTTAATTTTTATTTTTTTCAAAAAATATTTTCGATGCCTAAAAATATATATTTTTTTCTGATTTTTTTTGTGAGTTTTATATGATGTGGGCTACATGTCTATAAGTTTTGAAGTCATTTTTCCAAGGGAAACAAAAATGAAAAATCGCCAAAGATGGCGGTGTCAAATCATGTTCGCCCACTAATTTCAATTTTTTTTTTACTTTTTTCTATTTTTTGTTCTCTATTTTTATTTCGAATTTGATAGCAAATTTGGATGTGATTCCCATGCAAAAGTTGTTTATTTTATTTTTCTTCATAACATAGTTTGTTTTCGGAATTTTTAGAGAACTTTTTTTTTTTTTTTTTTTCCTTGCGTGGAATTGAACTCCGCGTTCGGTCGCGTTCACTGAACGCGCGTTCATTCCGTTCAATTTCTGAACGAAAAACCCGCGTTCAATGAACGCGCGGTAACATAGCTGTCGCCCACTGCGCACCTGTGTCTCCAACGAATCCAGACGCGTCAGCTCGTCGTCGTCGAAAATCAGAGTAAACATTCGTCCACATCGCATGACTCTAATAATCCGAGTATTATAGAAGGAGGTCATCCGAGAGGCTAGTCTCCAAACTATAAGTCGGAGAGGTCGACTAAGTCCAAATAGGTGTCGAGTCTCTGTGTCCCGGATCCGGACGACGCCGAAACGCCTACCAGGCGAGGTAATCTTGATACTCACAATGACTCGAGAGAGACATTGAAGATTACTCGCGCGGTGGAAATATAAAGTATAACCGTAAAGCTCGTCGGAAGTTCGAGCCGTGTTGACTCTAAAATCCGCCCTAGTGTTAGGGAAGAATCCGTCGCCATTTCGAAGCAATCCAATGAAGCCGATCCATTCGGTAGAAGATCCATCTCGAACTCGTAAAAGTCGTTCTGCACTCCTGATGAGATCCTCCTCGAGCGTATCGTGAACCAATAGATACCTCAGAATTGTCAAATCTCGTCGAGCTCCATGCATTTGCGTATCAGAACAAAGTCAGAATTAGTCGCGTAGATATTCCTCTATTTCATCCGTCTCGGCCTCCAATTCATCATCATATAATGGCTCGATGTCTACGATTGTGAACCTATTGGCTCGCACCCGTGCTGTGAAGTATATACCGAAGAAAGGTCTTTGTCGATCATTTAGCCAAAGCACGTGTCGAATGAACATCGACCTTATTTTAGCAATTTCGTCCACTCGTGGGTTGATCTCATATGGCTGCAATACCGCCAAATTCATATTGACGAAGTGACGATTGGGCAATGGCGGCGCGAACTTGTAATGAAGAACATCCAAGCCGACTGGTCTCCTGAAAATAAGTCGTCTGGGGGGTCTTTGCGCACAACCATCCCAAAACCGTGGAATGTCCTCCTCAGAGTACAGCTCTGACGGATTGTAAACAAGTCGGCCTATCCTCTCTACCCTTTCTCCATTACGTCTTTGGAGTTCGACCCTTTCAGCCGCCGAATCGCGGTCGTAGAAAAGGAACAAGTCCGTGCATCCCATAGCCATCTGAAAGAAAAACGAAGACAAATGTGTTTTAAGTTAAACTCTTGCCTTCGAGTATTATTTGGTTTTTGTCTTCCTTACGGCCTGTGTTTCTTATGACACGACCAACCACGTCAGGAGTATCTAACTGTACTCCGTTCAGCTAGTAGGACATGAGTCATGCTGCTTGTGGCACCAACTCTCCATACGTCAGTGGTACCTAAGATGACCACTTAAAACAGAGGTGCTAGAACAATTTTCTTTTTACACAAGGCGCGAAGAAATAACTTTCTTCCGTGTAGATGCCTTTTCCATTACCCTAAGAGGTGGTCTGGGATACTCCTCCTCCTCGCCCAAGTATAAATCTCGGATCTCAGAAATCGGGCCGTCTCCACCGAATCGGCATAGTACCCCCCCCGCAAAGCGGTCCACTCTGAGTCGATAACAGGCCGGCCCCTAAGGCAACGAACCGCCGCCCCAGATGCCTCCTAGAAAAAAGGGGAAGCACCTACACGGCAGACAAGAAGAATCTTGTCGCCTAACGTCAAAAGTAAACTTGGACGAAGAAAAAAAAATTCGTAGAAAGATAGAATCATTCAGACTGACAGGCATAGACGGGAAAAGGGTCATTCGGGAAAGAATATGTAACCTCAGGGATAAGTCTAAATCCAATTGAACTTTTCTTCCTTGTGCTCGCTTCGTTTCTCGTCATCTTCTTCCTTATTTATTTATATATAGAACACAAGCACAAAGATAAAAAAGTCAACCATTCTTTCATCGTCATCACCCTCATCCATTTCAGTCCACATGTCGTACCTGCAGTCCAAACCCAACGACACACAGACCACCATGCATTCCTTTACCATTGTCAGACTCCCAGTCATACACGCAAAAACACACATCTTCTTCCCTTTCTCAATGAACATTCAGTGAAAACAGGTCAAAGCAAGTGTGGGTTCACTCAGGTATGAAGGGAACTAAGTCAATTTAATTGACCTTGAGTGACGCTGAAATGAAGATAATAACGACTCACTCAAGAAAGCCGTATAAAATTATGCCCCTCTGTCAAGAGACAGTTGTCTTCCAATCGTCGACAAATAATCCACACCACTCCTTTCACCACAACCACCTGCCACAACGCCTCCTTACTATGTTTTTTCAATGAGTGTCACCGTCACTGACTTCCACTGTTTCCGCGTCACCACACCGTCAAAATTCACACCACCTCAATCCTCCGCTCCAGCGGTGCCTTCCCTACGCCAAGGTCCGGCTGCTGCTAAATGTGGAACTTCTACCGCTGGTAACCTTGCGTCGCCGCCGTAAAATTTTCACAGTGCTTCCGCACCGCCGCTGGTAAAACCAGAGTCACCGCCGAAAAATTCGGACAGCGCTTTCGTACCACCGCCGATAAAACCCGTAGTCGTCGCCGTAGAATTTCAGCAGCACTTTCCCACTACCACCGAGAAAACCGGAATCACCGCCGTAAAAACTTGTGCCGCCGCTGCAGAAATTTGGCAGCACTTTGGCACCACTGCACTAAAAACTTGTGCCGCCGCTGTAGAAATTCGGCAACACTTCGGTACCACCGCAGTAAAAACCGGGACTGCCGCTGTGAAATTTCGGGAGCACTTCCCCATCGTAGTGAAAAAATGGCAGGCCAAAATTGGTAAAATTTGGGCCCCAGGCCCAAATCTCACAGCGCCGCACTGCCGCAGTCCCGCAGTACCACTGGGTTTGTCCCGTGGGACCAGCACCAGCTAGAGGAGAGGAGTATAGTGCTCCCTGCCTTAGCTATGGCTGCCCAGTCTTCCTCTTCGCGCTCCTCTGCAGATCTCCAACTTCTCCTCCTTGCCTCAGGCAGCACCTCAGCAGCCCAGCAACACTCAAGTGCACGTCACACAATGACAGCACGAATGCTTTGTGTGGCAGCTGGGGGCAGCTGGCTGTTTTATAGTGGATGAGGAGGGCTGGACGTCACTCCAGCCCCCAGGCAAAATCGCGGGCTCACTGTGAGCCCTTGATCTGCCAACATCCAGGGCTGACTGTGGCCGCACCACAGCCACAGCCTTAGTGTGGGGCAGTTTCTTTAACTGCCCTATTTTATTTTTCTTTTTCTTTTTCCCAGCTATCTCGGAATCTGGCGAGATAGCTGCGCTCCTGCCATTTCCAAATCTGTTTTTCTTTTATTTTTCTGATAAGGGGTTGGAAAGATACAGCCCCTTTCCGTTTCATATATCTGGATCCTTTTTCCAGAGCAGATACATCGGGGAAAAGGTTGCATCTAGCCTTTTCCTTAGTGGCTTTTAAATTTCCAGGCTCCCTGCAAAAACGGGAGCGTGACAGTTACCTCTGGCAGCTTCTGCCAGAGGTAGCACCACGTGAGGACAAGTGTCCTCACACGAATAAAGAAAAAATAAAAAATAAAAAAACTAATTACTAATTTTCATTGCACCTGGCTCGTACCTCAGCCAGGTGCATCCTGTTGCATGCAACAGCCTTCCACCTTTTGTTCTGCCCTCTCCTGAAAACGAGGAGGGAAGTTGTCAATTTGGGAGGAGTAGGACCTCCTCCTCCCAACTCTCACGTCTTCCTCCCTTTCTTTTCTCCCAACCAACTCCAAAATCCCATTCTCACGCGCGCATCATGAGCCGCGAGATCCAAGATCTCGCGGCCTCAAATATTTGCCCTGAATGGGGTGAGGAGCCCTTCTGCTCCCACACAGCCAAAAAGGCTGTTTTTCTCCAGCCATGAGGCAGTTGCCTCGTTTTCAGATTTTTTTTTTTTTTTTTTTCCTGTTTTTCATGAGGCAGCTTGCCTCGTTTTTGCCCCTTCTCCCATTTTCCCCCACAACCTGTTGTCCAACGGCCACGAACGGGAAAGGGGAACAAAAAAAAAAAAAAAAAAAAAAAAAAAAAACCTAAAAACTCACCTGCGATTGTTGTCTGGTGGCCGCACTAACAGCAGTGGCCTTGGTCACTGCTCATGACTGTATTCTTCCGCGTTCCCATGGAAGATTCATTCAATACCTGGCGCGGCGTGTAGGTAGGTAGATCGGTAGGTAGGTGGGTAGGTAGGCCTCTCCTCCCTCTCTCTCTCTCTCTCGCTCTCTCTCTCTGTACCTAGTCATTATTGGCGCCAGGTTCGTGTGCTATGGTGCCCAGACTGTCGAGGTTAAACCTCTTGATGAGTCGGTGAATCCGACGAAACAGTCTGGCACGGTCATGCTTCCATCCGTTCGTTCGAACGAACGGGTGCCCCCAACTAAAAGAAGAAAAAAAGAAAAAAAAAGAAAAAAAAATCTAAATTAAATCTAAAAAAAAATCTAAAAGGAAAATCTAAGAATCTAAAAAAAAATCAGAAAAACAAAACCACCTCACCTAGGAAAAAAAACGGCTGCCCGTTGAAAACGGGCGTCCTCTGAAACCTGCTGAGGACTACAGTCCTCAACTTTCTTTTCCTGGGCGCCATCTGACGCATCCATATTGAGGTCGTTGGCTTATGCCAACGGCAGATGAAATACAGACCCGAGTTCGATTCCCTTCGGGGAATTGAAAAAAAATTGGCAGGGCCTGTTAAGGGACGCGCGGCCAATCTCGGCCATGCGATCTGCGCGATCGTGCGGTCAGGATTGACCGCGTCGTCTAAAATGCAGCTCCAAAAGGAGTTGCACCGAGTAGGGCCTGTCGGCTTCGATCCCAGTACCTGCAGGGTAAGCGTTTGACATAGTAACCTACTGGGCTAGCTCCTTTTCACGGAAGCTAAGCCTGCTACACGTCTATATGAAGGGTCACAACCAGTAGGCTATCCAGCCACGACCAAAAGCAGGCCTTGTCGGCCTCCTCTCCCAACACCAACTGCGCCGCTGTTGGTATGGCGGCCTCCTGGTGCGCAGCACACACACTGCCGCCCATTCAATCGGGCGGCTTATCGCGAGTGTGCCATGGCCAGCCTTTTTGAGACTATTTAGGCCCTGAATCGCGCGGCTGTTAAGCCGCGCGACATTATCACAGGTAGGATAGGTTTAATTTTTAACATTTCTTTATCCGCACATTTCTGCGGTTTTGACAAAAGCGTAGCCTTGTTGTTCATATCCGATATCTCCGGACGTCACACGCGTCTGGCCTAAGGTCCGAAAACTTTTTAGGTTCTCAGTCATAGATTAAGTCAGAATAAACTTTTTGCAGACGTCAGTCTCATCCCAAGACTATTATTTCAACGCAAGAGTCGGACAACGTCCGATGTTCAAAAACACCGGCAAATACCCTTGTCAGGGTTTTTGCCCTGACAGCGTCAACTATGTACAAGGAGCCATTGCACCCACGGATTGTGGGAGATGCAGGAGCAGTGGTCCATTTGGACCTACTGGCAATGCCTCAGGGAGTGGGCGACTACAACTACATCTTTGACGCACGGGATAATCTTACGGGGTTTGTCGATGGGCGAGCCATACGCAGCAAGACGGGTGAGACATTGGTTTTGTGTATCTCCGAATATTTCCTCAGGTATCCTTTCATAGTGGAATTCGTGATGGACAGGGGGTCAGAGTTCACTTGTGGAGAAGTGCGAACCTTGTTGCAAGAGTATGGCGTACAAGGCAGCTACACGACTAGGGCACATCCGCAGGCGAATGCTCCAGTTGAGAGAGGGCATACCACCATCACGAATCTACTGGCGAAATGGACGAACGACAGGGAGAATCAGTGGCCTAAGCATCTGCGCGCAACATTCTTTGTAGAAAATATTACGATTAAGAGGTCCACGAAGTACGCGCCAGCAACGCTATGGTATGGAAGACATGCCACACTTCCGATAGAGAGCTTTCTGAAGACGTTGAGGAGGCAGGATATAGAAAACACCTTGTCCTTCGAGGAATTGCTGGATTTGCGGGCCAGACAAGTTGACATCGCAGAAGAGAGGATCCAGGAAGCGGTAGATCGGGTAACCGACAGTCGGCTAGAGGATAAGGAGAGGTGGGATCTCCTCCCACTGCACGAGTCAGGAAGGAGCGATTGGAAGTTGGAGATGTGGTTCTACTGTACGACTCATCGCTAGAAAAACAGTGGTCGCGCAAGTTGGACAAGCGGTGGTTAGCCCCGTATCGCATTAAACGGTGCGGGCATCATGGAGCATATGAAATTGAGGAGCTTAACGACACACCGTGGAGAGATTGGGTCTCCGGTTCGAAAATGAAAAAGTTCAAAGCGCGGGACTAAGGTAAGGGTGACTGAAAAAGTGTCGTGAGTAGAAATAGTATCTGAATCCTCGTATTATTAGGTGGTACGTTGCATTAGTGATAGGATAAAATTGGGTGTTAGTATTTAGATAGGTCTTAGTGTGAGTTTTAGTTCGTCAGTCAGGTCAGTCGTCTGAGGGTATGAAAGATCTGTTTGGGTCAGTCAGTATAGGCATTCCTCATTCTTCTCCTGTGCTTACTTCTATTTCCTCTATCATCCGTCCTTCTTATTTGTGCAGGGTTGGCTTTTCGAAGTTGGCCATTATTTGGAGGGGCGGAAAAATGGCGGGACAGGAGGATGAGTGATTAGCCACGTCTTTGATACTGGACCCATTCCGTTACGGGGGTGGACATGTATTTCCATTTTTGGACGGGTTAGTTAGGCAGGTTTGGATCCTTCAGTTAGATTTTACTCAGATGACTGAGAGGGTCTGGGGTACTGGCAGCTATGAGGAGCATGTGGCTCAGATCGTGAGAGAGTTATTGGATTAGAGACAGTTCGCCAGGCGGATGCTGAGATTGCGGCCTCAGCCCATTGATCGACAGGGTAGGCCCACACGGTTTGATGGGGCTAACCTGGATAAGTTCCTTGAGGCTTTCATCATTTTTGCGGATGGGCAGAGATGAACCGAGGCGTAGAGGGTTAGCGAGGTACAGCACTGGGTTGTCCCGGATCTTAGACATGAGGTGAGTGCCATGTCACACACAGTGCAGGCTTGGGCGGAGCTTATAGCGACGCTTAGAGGGGCGTTCACCGCTGACAGACGACGCAGGCTGCGCAGAGAGGTTGGGGATTACATCCCGGAGCTCAGGGTACACCCACGAGCGCAGCTAGAGAGGGATGAGGATGATGAGGGGCGATCGTGAGAGAGGCGGAGAGAGAGTGGGCAGCCAAAGATCCCACGCAGACCTAGGACAGGCAGGCGTCGAGGACGTCAGGATAGAGGGGATGATCTAGAGGAGAATGATCACGTGTTGACGGTTGATATTGGGAGGACCCTCCCGACGTGTGATGTGGGGGAGGAGGCCTTGTTAGTAGGGTCTCAGAGACAGAGTGTCTTATCTACTCCAGAGATTGGGACAGTGCCAGCGCCAGAGATATGTCCGACTGAGATAGGGGATAGAGACTGTGGTGCGCCTGAGACAGATTGGACCACTCCACCTACACCCATACGGGATGGGGAGGAGGCTTCCCTGCAGCTTGTGTTGACGATTGCTTCGGCCCGGCCTACAGAGACAGATACCATGGAGGGAGTGGTTCCCGATACTGCATCGGAGAGGCCTTATCGATGGAGAGACATACGGGATATGGCATTAGACCTCCCACAAAGGGAGCTATTGCTTATGATAGGGCCTGCCACTATAGGACCGATGCAGGAGCACGAGGAGCCTCAGCCTGAGTGACCGCGAGAGACGACGCCGATGCATGATAAGTTAGGGCATGATGGGCAGAGGGTCCAGTCTCATTCAGAGCTGGCAGTGGAGGATGGTGAGAGAGGTGCGATGGGACCCTCATCATTGGACGGATCGTCGTTACTGAGCGAGAGTCGATTGGCTGAGCAGCCAACTCAGCCTGAGGGTTCATTGACTGCCCAGCTATATGATATGGAGTCTCCTAGGATGCAGATGCGACAGGAGGTATCCCAACCCTCGCCCATGGACATGGAAACAAAGCGAGTTGAGACCGAGGTTTTGGGGCTAGATAGAGAGGGTCTCACGGAGGACATGCAGACCCAGCGAGTGGAGACGTCACCACTAGACTTTGGGGATACTCCACGACGAGATGGTGATCAGACTGAGGCCGGTATGAGGGGCCACATTGAGGCAGACACGGAGCATACCCAGGACGCATCTCCGACTCATGAGGAGGAGAGCTTGCCGGAGTCTCGGGGGCCGATAGGTTACGAGCCTGTCAGGAGGGATGCATGGCTAGCCGAGGAGATGAGATAAATATCATTATTACAATTTCCAGGTTGGCTGGCTTTTGAGCGACTGGGCCAGGCCGCGAGACCGCACTTGCCGGTTGATCAGACCACTGGTGGGCTCAGGGTACTGTATGACGACTTAACCTTGCAGAGAACTTATATTGGTAGTGGCCTCGCAGCAGCTCGACAGGGGTCAGAGCAGGTTCGGGATTACACGAGGAGAGTTGCCATTCGATCCTTTGAGTTGAGTCGTAACAGACTGACGGAGCACGATGCACTGAGAGAGGTGGTGAGTGATCTCTGCACGTTTGTTGAGGTGAGAGAGGTCCAAACGCTAGAGGAGGCTGAGGTGGTGCTCAGGATACAGGAGAGAGAGGCGAGTGATTGGCGAGCCCAGGTTCAGAAGGTGCTCAGGGAGTATGAGTCACCTGCTGACGCGAGAGACAGAGATAGGCTGGAGCGCAGGGTTGTTCTTGAGACTGTGCGATCATCTCTGTTGGAGAGCCAGGTGTCGACCCTTGTCAGGTTACGGCGAGAGACTGAGGAGCAGACACAGTGACTCTTCTATGAGGATGCAGCACAACCGGGTGGCAGGAGGAGGTTAGGATGAGGAGACGGACAGGAGAGGAACTTGTGCCTGAGGGCGAGCGTACGCAGGCGGAGGAGAGGCTCCAGGCGAGATTATTATTTGACGCCTCAGTACGAGAGTTGGCAGGCGTGATGGAGCGTGTCAGGAGAGTCACGCAGACCGAGGTTACGCGAGGGGAGGTGCTCCATGATGCAGTACGGAGGATAGATATTCTGGAGCAGGAGAACAGGGGACTGAGAGACATGGTACGTAACCTTGTCACTAGCGCAGAGCAGTCGAGACATTCTACCTCGAGACTCGAGCAGAGGATTACTGATCTAAGGAGGGTCAAAGGCATCAGGCCATGGCAGGTCTGGTCGACGAGAGAAGGACTGAGAGGCAGCAGACTTCTATCGGACAGGCACACGTCTCTCATGAGGTAGAGCCAGGGGGAGTGAGATTGGACATCCCTCTGCGAGACTCGCAGACAGAGGAGCCACTCGGGGTTATAGGGATGACATGTGAGGAGGTTGCAGTCGTCGACAAGCTCATGCTTGAGCCAAACGAGATCGAGAGGAGGAGAGAGGCAGAGGCACGTGGTTTGGACTGGGTCCCTCCCTCAGAGTTGGCTGTTCAGGGGGATGTACGGCGAGAGATGGGTGGTAGGCACGACGAGCAATGAGGATTTCAGAGCCACGGGATGTTATGCCACAGCAGGACACGAGCGGATCAGCGACATTACTGCCCATGATTCTTCCATTTACACCAACTCCAGCTTTCGGGGCAATGAACGAAATAGTGCACCTCCTTTCGTCTGCGTCTGAGAGGTGTGACGAGGAAGCGACGACTGAGAGGGTCTCGAGGATGTTGAGCCCTGATACGGTGGATAGAGCCGTACATGATGTGACGATCCGACTCGAGAGGGCATGGCCTCAGATCCTACCCAAGCCTAAGAAGGCGAAGGTAGAGGACAGCAGCGCCGGTGACATGTGCTCATGGTGTGGCAGAGGGGTGCACGACAGGGTGGGTTGTCCCGCTTTCCAAGATGACCTTAGGAGGCGAGTCGTGCAGTTCGACGGACAGGGGCAAGTCAGAGATATGCATGGCGCTCTTCTTCCGAGGAGACGTCACGGTGCTAGGAGAGCTTTGTATGACAGGCTAGGCCTAGAGTTGAGAGAAGATGAGTGCTAGGTTACATGTCCATGAGACGCACGAGAAGCCAGGCTATGAAAAGAGAGAGATAGACGAAGATAAGGGGGCTATTATGGGGGGATAGATTGTTGGACTCATTCGATATTGTTATCTTCTACTTTGAGGGCTCCGAGACATGGACTTGTATTACCTCATGACTTGTATATTGAGAGTTTTTGACTTCGGATTTCAGGATACGAGCCATGTATTATATGTAGTTGGTGACTAAATTTGGCTCGTGCTTCAGTAGACTGTACATACATGATAGGCTACTAGTTTTAGTAGGTTGGCTGAGTAGGGATTTTAGAGATTGCACTGGGCCTGAGAGTCCAGTTTTGTGTGAGTTTGAGTGAGTTTTGTGTGAGCTTGAGTGAGTTTTGTGTGAGCTTTGTGTGAGATTGGTGTATGTTTGGTGTGAGTATGTGTCTGATTTGAGTATGACTTTCAGGTTGGACCTTGAGTTAGCAAGTATCTTTGCGAATTACATTGTTTTATTCAAGGGCATTGCTCCAATTGTCGGATAAAAATACCCATTTGAAACGTTTCATTCTTCATGATTGATTTTGAGATTCAGAGTATATTTTGCAGATATATCCTACGGGACACAATGTTCTGCGGGGTTGTCCTTGTTTTTATTTTTTAATTTTTTGAGCATGCCCTATTGTTGTGTTTTTGATCCAACCATACGAGTCTAGTGTGGAAAACAGGGAGCCATGAGATATTCTCACAGTGTGGATTTGTGCTTACTCCCCTTGCATCTGTGATGTTTGTACCTGTTTATTGGTTGTGAGTAAATTGTTTGATTGTTGAACAAATGGTTTCAAACCTTGATTGTATTTGAATCAGTGTGTGAGAGTCAGTGAAAAATTGTTCAACAAAAATGAATGGAAAAAGGTTGAATCGGAAAGACAGCTTAATTGTTTGATTGGAAGGGGGCCCGTTTTGAGGAGCCACCCGTTTATATATGTGAGAATGAAAGCAAAACTTTAGGATTATAACTCGTTCCATGAGGATAAATAAAGCTTTGATTTTTGTAGAAAACTGTCGGTGGATAACCAAACTTGAGAAGAGATGTTCATATAATGAGGGTTTTTTTTGAAAGAGAAACTTGTTTGTGAGGCGCCCGGACCGGTGGTCGCATCTGTCATGATCAAGCAGAACGACTACAAGCATTAAAAGTTGGCTCAAGAATATTTTGGGAGGCCTAAGCCGAGGGCAAAATCGGCATCGTTGGGGCAACCCCCAACGTGGGCTGCTGTCCTGACTAACCAGGACAACGGACCCCTAGCTTAGCCTGAACTTAGAGACGGCAGAGTGACCTGCACTATCATCCATGATATATAATTATATAAATGGACTATTATAGTTACTATTATTAATTATTATTTACTATTATTAATATTATTTTTATTATTACTATCCTTATTATTATTATTACAATCATCATATGGGAGGGTTAAATATTTAAGCCAAGTATCGGGTCACTCCAAAGAATTTAATTAGGGCGACGGATAGGGGGTACTTAGGTTCAAAAGTCAGAGAATTGCCTTAGCATTGAGCAAGCAATGTATGCAACATCGTAGCTTAATGGTGCGATGAACCGTAGTTTGGCCCGATCATCCAAACTATGGTGGGCTGAGGGCAGGACTATAACCCACCTGTGACGAGACGCAGGGTCGGGCTAAGTTTTTGATTTAATTGCATGGAGTGAGCTACGTGCAACACTATGTCTGTCACAAGTTGAGTTGTTCAAGGGGGTGTACTTTTATATGATAAGCCACTCAAAGGAGTATGCTACTTTTTTTTTTTTTTTTTTTTTTAATTACAAGATGAACTGCCTGGAGGAGTATGCTTTAAGTCTGCTTAAGCTACTCTAGAACGGTGGATTACCTGCGTTGGTTGTGTGCTGCAGTTTGTCCCACTCAGGGCATTTGTCTTGCCTAAAAACCCGCGCCCGAAGATGACGACTTCTTGACAGCCCGATTCAGACGACACCCAACGAAAGCCGGAAGGCGTCTAGGACAAACGGAAAAGGCTGGTATTTTAACACTGAAGCTAACGGTGGGCGGTAGTATAAAGAAAGTACCCCTATGAGTCAGACAGGAGGTGCAGGTTGGACTGCTGCTCGCCATGAAGACGTCGCAGAACTAGAATACCAAACCCCAAGCTGAGTCCTTTCGATTATACGGATTTGGTTATCCATTTGCTCAGTCTATGCATACGCTAATGTTTTCGTTCATGCTTTCTAGCCCTTACGTAAAGCGACGGGGACGTCGCTTAATAGGGTCTGGGAGGACTGTCGTAGCAAACACCCTTACAAGGGTATTTGCTGTTCTTTTTAAAGGTCGCACTGGGTGCGTCCTTGATCAACAAAATGCGCTGATGAGGTAAAACCCGTCAGGACGATTACGTCGGCAACCTCGCGCTTGGCAAGACTCCGAGTCAAATACGACCGAATTAGAGAGTATGTGGGGCACGCATTATTGCATTGAACTGTGAGGTGGCCGTTAGTCATCGACAATACTAGGCTGGTGAAATGGCGTCAAAGTCGTAGGGCCCGGTTACTCTCCCCTCTGTAATTTTTATTATTGATTATATTTTTTTTAATTTTATAAAGACTAGATTTACTTCACAACTAGTTCGGCCTCCAGCAGGACGCGTCATGAACAGGGTAAAAACCTTACCTTGCACACACACGGAAAATTTATGTTGGACGACGCGTCGAAAGGCGCGGCGTTGGCAAACCTCGTATGAGGGAAAGTCGAAAATTTGACGAAAATACGTCGAGCGCCCCGACGACCAAGATACCAAGTAGCTATGATCCTAGGCGCGGACGACGTCTCGGCGTTTTCTGACAGCCAGGAGGTTGGCCGGTAGGCCAAGGCGAAGGTCTGGTTTGTGCAGGTCGGACCAATTACGGTCCTACAACTATTCATATGCAGGGACACGCCTACCCAACTCAGGCTTGGGCTTAGCCCTATTGGTTACGGTACTGGACTTTTGAGCGACACGTTTAGGGTTCAAGGTCAGCTAGCGGCGATGGAGCAAAGAAGCTCGACAGACTGAGACTGAGGGGTCGAGGGTCTTAAGGGACTATCCCCCTTGGTTTTGTCGGACGGACTCAAGCCTGGGTTCGACTGCCAAGACTAAGAGGGCGTCGGCAGGTCCTCGTCCTCTTCAATTCTACTATTTTTATTTTTCTGTTGATTTATTTTTATTTTTATTTTCCTCAAATTTTCCCATTTGTTGACTAGGCCGGAAACTGGCTCCGGGACTGACGGCGAAGAAGTACCGCGGAGGAAAGGATGAAAAGAACTTCAAAAAAAAAGAAAAGAACGCTGATATTGCTGAGCGATGAGCAAATGGAGAGAAGTCGTGTACCCACACCTGGTCAAGGGCAGACGACGACTTGGTCGCCACCATCATTGGCCAGGACGCTGGGTGCCTGCCAGCATGGGTTGCTGTGACCAGCATTGCAATGGGGAATGATTGGAACTTTCCCCCACACTTGGCCGTCACGGCAGTCGATGACCTTGAGTACTCGCCTCTTTTAGCACTGACGCTCGGGGTCCTGCGTATTCGGGGTGCTGACAAAGTTCCTTTATCCTACTCGTCTTGGTGCTCGAACAAATGGGGTCAACGTGTGCGAGAGTCGGTGGGTGCATGGCCCACGGAGCGGAAGAAACCCGAGTGGCGGGAACACTTTGCAAGTGCAGCATTCGCCAACCACGATCTGCTGTGGGAGGCTGATGTAAGAGCATGCCCGTCGTGACCCGAAAAAGGGTGAACTGTGCCTAGGTAAGTCACAGCCAAAGGGAGCCTCGGTGGGGGCACACTGTAGGCGCACCATTTGCCAACCGTGTTTGGCTGTTAAGAATTCGAGTGTGAACAGGTCTGCGGGAACAGTGCCACAGAGCCTAGCTCAAGTGGTACACCCGCGAACTGTTGAAAAACAGGTCTGCGGGAACAGTGCCACTGAGCTTAGCTCAAGGTGGTACACCCACGAACTGAAGAAAATAGGCCTGTGGGAGCATCACCACGGCCTAGCTCAACTGGTACAGTCGTGAACTGTTGAGAAAATAGGCCTGTGAGACCATCACCACGGCCTAGCTCAACTGGTATACCTATGAACTAATGAAAATAGGCCTGTGGGACCAGCACCACGGCCTAGCTCAACTTTACACCCACAAACTGTTGAAATACAGACCTGTGTTCAAACTCCACTGAAAGCAGATGAGTGAAGTTCTGAAAGACAGACCAGAGTTCAAATCCAGGTACGATCGGATGACCAGACCGGATCCAAGTGAGGCAGTCTACAGAGTCCCGCGGTGGGACTGCGATTGTCCTTCGGGACATCCGTGAAAATTGGAATGAAACAAAGAAAATCAGCGTGGCCTCGACACAAGGGCAAGACACAGAAGTCGGGAGGGGGTAATCCGCCCCGCTGGTTTCTGTTTTTTTTTTCTCTCTCTGATCTTCAACGTAGACTACGGACCGGGCTTGCAGGGATAGATGCAGAGCGGGGAAGAAGAAGGCGAACACGAGGAGGGAGAAGAAGCTAGGTGAAGGAGGATATAGTGGGGACAAAGAATGGATATCTCACTCGATTCTCAATGGAATCGAGCGAAGTAAAATGATAGACAAGGGTTTTGGAGCAGGGCGAGTCTAATAGCAATGTTAGTTTTGGGTTAGAGTAGTAGGGAGAGAGATAGGAGAGAAATTGGGTCCGCGGGAGAGTCGAAGAGAGTGAAGAGGAGGGGTGGATGTTGTTGTATCTCGGTCATTTCTTGACCGTTTTGAGCAAACTAAGGTGCTAACAGGAGGTTTTCAGGTGTTGCGAACTGATTGGGCATGTTAGTTTTTTATTTTGAGTAAAGGATTGTGCGGTACGAGCTGCAGGGGCTGCGCTGCTGCAAACGGAGTTTTGGAGAGTAACGATGTGCTTTTCTGGATTCTAGCGGTAAATTCATTCGAACATTGCTGTATTTTGGTAATTTCTTGACCGTTTTGAGCAAACTAAGATGCTAACGAGAGGTTTTCAGGTGCTGCAAACAGATTGGGTGTGTTAGTTTTTGATTTTGAGTAAAGGATTGGGCGGTACGATCTGCAGGGGCTGCGCTGCTGCAAACGAAGTTTTGGAGAGTGACGATGTGTTTTTTTGGATTCTGGCGGTAAATTCATTCGAATAGTGCACAACTGGTGGGCAGCGGAGCGTTGTTCATCATCATTGTCTCCATGGCATTCCATGCTGCTCATGATGATTCGTTGAACCGATCTTGGTAGTCATCTTACTATCTGCTCATCCCCCCACCTGAGTCATAGTAGTCTTTTCGTTCATTATTTTTGTCCTGATCTCGATCTTTATACCGTTGAACCTCTTCCATCCTCCTATGAACGGACCTGGCCAAGCGGAGGGGCCAGGTGCGTCCATAAATCAGGAGTAAAACAAAAAGGCGAATGAGCGGAGAGGGAAAGGAAGGTAGAGAGGGAGAACTACAATAGCGGGTCTCTGCTCGCGAGTGAAAGGTGGGGTAAGTTTGGCGGTGAATCTTGCTGGATTCTAGTAGTAGAATCACTCTTATTCTACACTTTGAAGCATACTAAGTGAAGGATGTGATGTTGGTTGTGACCATCACCCCTTGTTTCGATGGATGACATCGCATCCGTACTACTCATGACTACATTGGTATTGACGAATTTGGCGTCGAAACTCTAGTTCTAGTGTTGTGAAAGAAGGAGACTGTGCAACTACTACAAAGCTTTTGGGAGAAGTAATACATCTCTATATTTGTTAGCAAATAATACATTTGGCGGATAATGGGCATGGCCCCGGCCTCCTACAGGGCGGGAGCAAGTGTGCATGGATAAGACAACGAGGAGCAGAGAGCGGGTGCACACTCAGAGAGAGAGAGGGAGAGAGAGAGGAATCACCTCGACATGAGAAGAGGCATACCAGCGATGCGGGAGAGCCGAAAGTCGAACGTCTGTGCC